TCCCATTTGTACTAGACCTTATCCCTGAAAAGTTTTCCAAATTCCATAAAAATCTTACATATCAGCCAAAGCCACTTGCCATATCCCTATCTACCTCTACTAATCCTTACAATCCTCCTTGAAGGTTGAAGCGGTAGTGTCCCAGATACCTGCTGTAAACATATATTACAGTTTCGGCAATTGCCAGATTCTCCACTCAAGCCAAGTAAGTTTGGTTATAGCGCCTCTGCTCAGCTTCTACTGGTCCTTAATACTAGTAATGCGACTGCGTGAGAGACGCTGTAATCTCCTAGAGCCCTGCCTTTGCTTCTACGAGTGCGGGAGGGGAAGCTCGGAGATCTTGAGAGAATGAATTTTGTAAATATTGTATGAAAGTGTGTGTGTATTTAAGTAGTTATTTTGATTAGTTTAGATTCTTTTAGTTTGTATACATTTACTTTTAGTATTATTATTTTGCTGTTTATTTATTGTGCATAGTGTGAATGAGCTACTCTTCTATCACTATTACTATTGTCCTGAGATGTGACAGATTGGAATATTTCTAAATAAAGAATTTTAAAAAAAATTTGCTTTGGTTTTACACGAATTTTGAGTATATTATATATCACCAGTTTTAAATAAAATATTACAAAAAGGTACATTAATTTATATATTACGTAACAATATACTTAAAACTATATATTTGGTTATTTTAGGACCAATTATCTCTTCATTTCAAATAGACGCTCGTTCAAAAATAAACTAATAAGTTTAATTCAATTTATAAAATTAAATTACAGATTCAGGTGAATGCAGCTGGAACCTGTTTTATTATCTTATTAGGATTCTAGTCTTAATAAACAAATAGATGTTAAACCTGCGGTCGGATGCGAGCGAAAGATCTGGACCAACAAAATATGTTTTTCCCCTTTATTTGAGTACTTTTTCAAAATAGTATTGTGGACTTGAAAATACGAATAAGTAATTTATTTTTCTCACAGTTTAATGTTTGGAATAGCTGTTTATGAATATAAAAAGGAATCGCACTACACAACCAAAATCTGAGTGGCGATAATAATATCGAAAATAACAACTTATCTATTTATTATTGACGAAAAGAAAATTATTTTTCAAATACCTTCAAAAAAAGTTTTTTTTTTTGTCCTTTTAACAATCCTTTGATTAATCTCTGAATAATGGCTATTCAGTGAATTCTAGTCTTGAATAAATATTTATTCTTCCAAAATTTTCACTGAATAAATTTTTATTCACTGATTATTGCTTATATATTAACAAATAAAGAAAGATTATTCTGGTTATTCAATTCAATCACTAACAACTCAACATCAATACTTATAATATAATTAAATATTTTAATTCATATTATTTCAAACATTCGCTAGAAAAATCATTACATCCCTTTTCGCGAATTGATTAAATGAATTTTATTCAAACACCGTTCAGTTTTTTTAACTCAAATTGTTTCAAAACATTCAGGGAATCTCACCGAATAATTGCCATACTATAATTGAATACAACAAAAATTTTAGGACATTTTCTTAAAAAAAAATCGTTATATAGCTTTTAGCAGTCAGCCTGCTAACACATAACCCTCGTGTCACTTCGCTTAGTCCGGTAATAATTAGCTGTTAGGAACATCATAAATAGGGTACTGAAAGTAAATATTATAGACGGTATAACATATTTTTTAAAACAATTAATTTCCATGTTTTCCCACTGTTCTAATCAATTACATATGTATATGGGTTTTTGTCACTAACCAGTTTTAAATTTAATATTATGAAGATAAGTGATTAAAACCGACCGGTATGTAGAAAGAAATTTACCTGCCAATAGCACAAAAAATGGGGCGCTTTGTCGAAGGAAATACACAAGCACTACTTGACAGTACACACAAATAGTGCAAAGTGGATTAGTCCCTAGCCTGTTGAAAGAACTCTCCGCCAGATATCACCGTTCGAGGAAGCTTTTGACCAAACTAAATTAAATTAGTTAATTTCTTTGTAGAAAGGGTTTATTGTTGACTTCTTTGAAGAAAGAGTTCGTTGTTAACTTTCCCACGAGAAGGCATAATTGGCAATGGCATAAGTCCGTCAAAATAGAAGTATACTTATGAACCACCTGGAGAGTTTCTCAAGAAATGACTATTAAGTTATTAGGTCCTGTAGATGGAATTTGATGATGGCGACCCGAGGACCAGACTCTACACGCAGATCACACAACCACCCTAGCTCACATCAGAATCTAACCAGCTAAGTTTGATCATATGCAATATTTCTTCCGAACAATAGTATATTAATGTTAAAATATTTCATGGCAATTTCTGAATTCAGTCCAACAGAATCATATATTAATTTTACAGTTTTTAGTAAATTTATTTTATCATATATTTATTTAGTATAATATCAATTTTAATCAATATATCTTGTAATCTTAATTTGTATTTCATAATGTCATATTATTTGTAAATTACATATTCCTCTCCTTATTGGGTGTAATTTAAATGAATAAATTAAGTTTTTTTATAAGATGATTATTAATTTCTAGTTTAATTAGATTAATTATAGGTAACACAAGTAATGTTGGGGATCAGAAAATGAAAAACACAAACAACTTTTGGAGAGGTAATTCTATTAAACATGGACCACGATAGGTAGTATATTGTATGATTCAATATCTCTTATTTATTTGTATTTAATATTTCTGGGTAAACATCCTCGATAAATAAATTATACCCAATGTCAACTATTTTAGAGGTTAATTATTATTTAAAAAAAAAATGGGACATTGAGTTTGTAATAATTAATTGAGACTCCTCTCCTATACTAGACCCTAAAATCTTTGAAAAATAGAGGCTAATTAAAAGAAGTAATACTTCATCTAATGTTAATGATTTAACCGTTAACAATTTTGAAGACGAAAAACAAAAATTTATGAAAATAGCAAAGATTTATTTACTGGTCCAGGTGAAATTCACTGTGCAGTTTGGCTTAGCAATGAGGCAGTATCTACCGTGAGAGTGTAGGAGGCTTCCAGATTCTTTAAACTAAACTCAAATTTAGCGATCATTAAACCAATGCAAGAGACAACTTATTGGACTCATGATATAGTAATACTTTAATAGAATAATGATCTATTCGGCTGTGCTATTCCATTGAATAAATATATCAAAAGGGAAAATCCCTACCCAGGAAGAACTAACTGCTAATTATTTTTGATAAAAAATGGTTTACTGTGCTTGCTATGAACACCGGTAGGGTGCCATCAGTTTGCTCTTCATGAAAACTCGAATCGTTTATGCACTATGCATACCCCATTAGGTCGATACTGACATTTTATTATTGATTACTGGAAGAGATATTTTGTCAAAACTGAAATCACTCCTTAGAATCGCAAATAAATTAATAGAGAGGTTTGAATTTTTTTTTTTAATTGTGGGTTGATGATTGACTGTCGTGAATAATGAAGAGAAGGATGGTTGGGGTGATCAGTCAGAAAAAATGTCGGCAAATGTTAAAATAAATATTATTTTTTTATTATTTATTATTATTTAATTTTTTTTTTCACCACAACCATCCTTCTCTTAATTTTTTTTTCATGTACCTCTTCCTTGCCTTTTAGGCTATACAGGGTTTTCCCGGACCAAGGGATGATGGTAGGGGATTAATGCCAAAGTTAAAAGACCCAACTTCGGCACCGGAAAGCGAACTCGTTATTCCTTTTCCATTTATAACTTCCGTGATCAGGTTGTCGGGCAACGCGTGGTGCTGTGCACACGCGTTAGCCCGCTCGGACACTCCGATCTCTAGAGGTTTAACTTCGACAACTGAAATATCTGCGTTTGTGAATTTTCACTACACCGGAAATAGATCAAGGAGTTCACTGTTTTAAATATAAATGTATAACAGTCTCATATACATACTGTACCGTACGACCGTCATATACGTTCAGACCGTAGTCTGCCTACGCTTGTTGGTATAACAGCCCTGATGAAGGCGTGAACTTAGGGCCGAAACGTCGGCGAATGTAAAAATAAATACCATTATTTATTTTACTATATTATTTTTACTGATCACTCCAACCATCCTTCTCTTCCATTATAATTAATATGTTTAAAATTTTTATCTTAAAATTATGGTTAGGATCTTATTATATTTTATTTAATTATATTTAATCAAATACTAAATTAAATTTAATTTTGAAGCAAACAACCCATTCCACCATTCCGTTAATCCATTTCGGCGGCAATCAGCGCACTAACCTTAATTGCTACAAATCCCTTTAGTATCTATTTGACTTTTCTGCCGAGCATTTACACATAGAAACTTAAAGAAGTTTATGTTCTTAGATTACGTTCCGGCGGAACAAAGTTTCCTGGGGTCTCGTTCCGTTCCGCCCGAAACGGTCCATCCCTACTCGGCAACCCAGCCCTTACATCAACATGAACTATTTTTTTGGACAACCCTATATATAATTTCGGTCGTGAACATTACTGAATTTTAAGGTCCCCTAAGTCTAAGCAACCAAAGTACTCCCTGAGGCAACAGTGTTATATGATTATTATATAATGGATATGATTATTCTGGCAACCACCCTTTTTACGCTTCATCCTCAATAATACTCTAATTTGTAGCGTACCGAAATTGGTGACCCAAACCAGTGCCAATTCAGTCTGTGGACAAAGTGTGGGGATATGCCAAAGTTCTTAATACATTGTATTGAAATTTTTATTTTGTATACAACCATCAAAACAGAACTATTTCATGAAGAGATCTAAACCCTACTAGACATTTGCTAATATTTGTATAAAGGATGATTGTTATATTACAGAATGTTACTTTGTCAAACATTTCAATTTTAATTTACGCTCAGGATTTGTTAATTATTCAAACCAAAAAAATATCTCTCTGGTATCCTTCGGATATCTTTTTCAAATATTATCAAAATGTCTGTCTTCAGTTTGTACGTTTGCGATTGTGCAGGCTGTGGTATCAGTGAGGGAAGGTTTCTCATAAAAGGTTTTGCTTTGGAACAGTGTTTTTTAAACTTTGTTGTAATTTGGTTCGTTGGCTTATGATTTCACTATTTGATATGTAAATCTCAGATGCTAATGGTATGTTGATGGATGTGAATTACAGTTGAATTGGTATATATATTACGATAGAATGGAACTAGGCGATGAAGTCAGTGTTAAAATCAAGGTGAGCTTTTTCATATCATATAACAAAACTGTATTGATAAATTTCATTTAAACATTTTAGACGTTATTATATTCTTATTATCATAACTCATATATATATAATAATACATTGAGTCCAAATATTATGCATAGGTTTTATCTTTATAATATGACATATTCTTTTCTAAAATATGAGAAATGAAATCATAATATTAAGTTATTTTATTTTATTTATAAATTTCTTAGTTACACTAAGTTTGCTTGTGAAATATAATATGTTAATAAGTTAGGGGTTATTGTTACTTCGAAGTTTTGTATTGTATTAAAGTATTTAAATACATGTATTAATGTCACATGGCAATTGTACTCTAAGGAATCCCTAAATTAACAAGAAATTAAAGTGAAGTACATCAAAGGATTAATGTAAATTATATCATATTTACTGTAGCAATTTGACTAAAATTAAATATAGTAATGGCCGATGTAATATTTTTTCCTAACTATATTTAGCACATACCTCTCACTTATCTAATTTTGAGACAGTTGATGTTCCTGATAGTCTGGACCAAGGAACTGATCTATCTGATATGTTCTTATCACTTTTAATATGCAAATTGCTCTGCCTCCTCAGTTAACCACTACATATATCAAGAGGATCTAAACTGCCCTATCATCAAACTAGTCTTGAATTTTTGAATTACTACTATTTGAGATTTATTTTTATCTGCTCATCAGACACTTACATTTATAAATATATGTATAATCAACTTGCACTCACACATACATATATATACATATAATATATATAAATATGTATGTGTGTGTGTGTGTGTGTAAGTTGATTAAGGATTAATAATACATAATTACCCTACATTGTTATTTTTTTTCAATTTGTTTTAGAGTGCCATCCGGGCAAGGTTGAAGGAACTTGGTATTGTATGGGGTAAGTAATGGTCATTAAATATCTTTTTATTTGCTTTATTTTAAAAATTATATGAAATTTAAGAAAAAAAAATCTATTGTATAGACCGGGAGTTACCTGATTATGTGATGGTGTTGATTGCCAACAAGAAATCAAGAGAACAGATGGAAAACGATTTGACAATATTTCTCGGGTCTCACACTGCTGGATTTACTGCTTGGTTGCATAATGTCCTTAAGAAACTAGAGGAATGCACGACATATTGGGGTGAGTTATGTTATGTGTTTTTAATTTTGTTTACTGAAATACTTATATGGTATGTGTTCTCAGACATGTATTGTGATTGTTGTGCTGTTTATGTATTATTTGTGATGTTTACATCTAACCCCTTCTTGTCATATGCTCCAAATATTTCACCTGTTAATAAATTGATGTACAGTGTTACTATTAGTAGATTAGTTCCAAATTTATTTAGTTTACTAAATGGATGTAAAAGACAAATTCTGTTGAATGAATAACTTTATAAGATGATTAACCAACTTTCTGTTTTATCTAAATTTTCTAATTTTGTTACTGATTTTTCTGAATTTGAAGATTGATGTCACCTGTTTGATTGATCGGTTAGTGCTTGGTTTTGAAAAGATATTTTTCTGAACTATTACGAGTAATTAAGTAGAAACTTAAATGTTCATTCTTATTTCTTAGAGGCATTACAGGTTGTAGCAGTAAATTATTAAATGTATGTTGATAAGATATTAGTTTTAATTGTGTGATAATGAATTAATGCTAAAAAAAAAAAAAAAAAAATGTTTTTAATCTTTCACTACATGTCACAGTACAGAAATTAATTATCATTCTTCATTGAAATCTAATGTCTGAAGTTTCTGGAACTAAAAAAATGGAGTACATTTGGGTATAAACACCAGTTTCTAAGTTTTTGTAAATATGGTATAATTCTTGTTTGTTTTATGATTAGTTTCTCTACTATGTTATTTGGTTTACCTTGTTTTGGTTCATTAATAACCTTGATAAGCATACTTGTCTGCCAAAAAAAAAAAAAAAAAAAAAAATTGAATGAGAGAAATTTTATTTATATTTATTTATGTTATTTGGTTTACCATTTTTTTGGTCATTAATAACCTTGATAAGCATACTTGTCTGCCAAAAAAAATTGAAATCTTGATTGAGAGAAATCTTAAGCTTAGTTTAAAATTTAAAAATTATTTGAGTTTTGCTTCATGTTTTTCTTACCAAAAATAAGGATATCAATGAGTACTGCACAACAGTTCTGTACTTTATGTAGTTCTTTCTTAATGTTAAAATAACAATGGACAGAACTGACAATCTTGAAGCAGTGGAGCTCAACATTTGGAAATACAGATCCCATCAGAAATTTTTAAGAGGTCATAGAACCAAACATGGTTGAATTACTGGACAATGATAAAACTGCTCAGACTTAGAAGGACTCTAACTTAGATACTTACTTAAGTGAGTACTTCCCATCTTGATAACTTAAGGCTCCTTCACACTGAGTACGATATGATATTCCTGTCAGCGGTAATATGGTGATATAGTGTATTATTATCTATTACATTATAACAGTCATACAGAACGTGATAATATGTAGTGATACCGTCAAAGAGTATCGTATCGCAGAAACATCACGTTCTATATGTAAAAGCCTTTCCTAGTCCACAACTCCTCAATAAAATCTCCCATATGCTTGTTCCTCCATCTTATGTGTTTGGAAAAAGATATAATATTGTATATGAAGGTTTGTCCTTAAAAATTTACCATACCCTGGCCTGATAAAAACAATGCATGTCTGCTAGTCACTGGAATACAAAATGGCGACTAGGTGAAGATAGATAGAGACCTTATATAGATAGGTACATATTATTCTAAAGGGACTCGTTCCAGAATAAATAAAGTATTATTATTATATATAGAGAGGGCTTATAGATATAGAAAGCTACCAAACTTTTCAATTTATAGTATTTACTATCTTAAAATATGGAATAATTGTCGGTTACTCCATACCGGTGGATTTCAAGTCGAAAATTTTTTGGTTTTTCGCTTATGTAAGCATCATCAATATAATGACATTAATTCCTTATGAAGAAGGATAATTGAATCTTGTGAAACAATGACACATATCCAGTGCCGTTCTGCCACTGCTGCTGTTGAAGAAAGATGCCGAGCCTGTCTTAATACTCAAGAAAATCATTGTAAACAACATCTAATATGAATGTTAATGTTTACATTTAATTAATAAAGTAGTTAGAACAAATAAATATGTTTTTATTTATTTCATATAACATAAATAATTCATAACAACGAAAATCTTTCATAACGAAGCGTTTGCGGACATACCTTCAGAGGAAATTTTTTTCTCGTTTTGACGTTCTTAGTTCATTTTTGCAGTTTGGCCACTTAACCCTGAAACACCCTGTATTTATAAATATACACGTTTACTACCTATATAGGTTCTCTGTCTATCTTCACCTGGCCACCACTTTGTATTCCTGCTCCTAGCAGACGTGCATATTTTACTTTCACTTACCTTTATAAGTAATATATTGTAAGGGTAAGTATTGCGATCGTGAAAATTTTTGAATTTGAGTTTTCAACGGAACTTCCCGTTTTGAGGTCCCCTGAGTCCAAATAACCAATTCCCGCAAAATGGTGTGCGTGTTAACGGTCTAGCTCAAAGATGAAAAGTCGTACGAAAGTGAAATTGCATATTTAAGGTTTTTATATGCTAGGGATGTTACAGTAACTTTTTTGTCAAAATTGGTCGGAAGTTGTACTTAATTATAACGTATATAATGGGCTAAACACATTTTTAGGATTATCGCAAAAACCGCTCCAACAATTTTGATTAAATTCATCTTGTAAGTGTAAAATTAAGTAGTTTTAAATAAAGTGTGGTTATATTATGATTGATGTTCTCTAACAGTGCTGAAATGGCTAATTTTCAATATTAGCTTCCTCTAAAGTACCTTTATTTATTTTTATTTGAAACAATTACCATATCACATTAATATCTAATGTGAAAAATGGTTAAATATAAAATATGAAAGAATTTGATAAATAACTAAAGGAGAAATAAGAGATCGTAACGGAGAATAGTTGTAATTGAGGAACCAAAGGAATACGAGCCCACCCAAGCTCGCCCGAAAGATTAGAACACACTTCCAAACGCATCATTAGATTAATATAATAAGGATTCCGACAATATTATATAAATATAAATATGTGGTTTTCATAAATGCTATTGTTATTATTTAATATTTAATTGTATAGATTACAGCGATATAAATATTAAAATTTGTATATATGATGGTACTTATACAAATAAAAATACTCACAATGGAATATAAATAAATATAGAGTCTATAATTTTTACTTTCTCTTCGCTTTGTCTGAAAATACTTATTTCTGCTAAGAAGATGGTGGTGAGTGAAAGTTATGTGATGCGCGCACTGCACCAGATTTTTTCATCATCAGGCATGATAAATTTTTAAGGACTCTTTTTTTTTTTTTTTTTGCAATGGCTCCCAGAGGGGATTCTAAGAATCGATTCCTTATTCTAGGTAATGTAAGTTCCCTTCATGAATTTATTAAAAATGGATTATTTGTAATATTTACTTTTAAGTAGACATCATAATTTGTTAAATTCAATATTACAATGTGTTTTTTAATGTCAAACTATATAAAGATAGATATAGATTGATTGATCTAGAGAGCAGTTGGTAGTTCTAGTACTGGCACCATTTAGGCAGAGTCCATTTAGTTAGCCAATTAGTAGAATATTGATTGAAAAGTGTGTGAGTCAGTTAGTTAGTTCTTTATAAAAAAGGCTATCAGTGTTAAGATTGTATTGTGTCATAAGTATTTGTATTTATGTAATATATAGAAATATTATGTTAAAATGTTAATTAAATTGTAATTAATTGATAACTTTTTTGTTTCCCACCTCTTCCTTGCCTTCTCTACTGAAGGGGAGTTCTCCCAGACGAGGGGAGAGGGCGGGGGATTAATGCCAGAGTTAAAGACCCCTCCTCTCTTCCCACCACCAATATGCGAACTCATAATTATTTTATCATGTTTTCTTCAGTTTATCAGGTTTCAGGGCAACACGTCTTTTCTAAGAACTTATTAATTGTTGAATTTAGTTGTTGGGTTTTGATCAAAACCAACTGAATTGCGTTATATTATATAGAGCCTTCTCCAATCCATGGGACCTGAAATTTGGTATTTAGGATTGTTTTTATTGCAAAACAATAAGTTAAAAGTTTGAATTAATGTTGTCAGAATGTCAACATTTCCAAGTGGTTTTCCGGATTTTTAATGATCATATGCCTTTTTTTAATTCAATTGATTTTGAAATTTTATAAATTTTTCTCTTGTAGGAATCAATAAAGCAATTAAATCACTTTTTATTAGTGATTTCAAACAAAAAATGAGAAGAAAATACTTTATTAGTGATAGAATTTTGCTGCTCATCTTTATTTATTTTTTTTTATTTTGTTAATTTCATTGATTTTTTGTTATGTTGATACTATTCATTGTTTAACAGGACTCACAAAAAAGAAAGAGGAAGAGAAGAAGTCAAAGTCAAAACGTAGGCCCTCTGATGAAAATCATCAAGAAACTAAAAAGCTAAAAGGTATAGACTTTAAATCTGATGACAACATCGGTGATGCAACTAGTAATTCAGGATCTGAAGACGCCATTTCTAACCATCTGTCTCCAGGTATCTTTATCACTCTCACTTATATGATTATTAATCACTTCAATCTACAAATTAATGCCAAATATAATGATAGTTAAACGTATTACCTAAGCAAATATTTTATATAATATTTAATTTTGTTTCCTTAAAACATAAAGTTGGTCAACTTTGTATTCCTGCGGAAAGTGAGAAAATTGTCCTCAAAATCGAAAATGTTCACTCGCGATTTTTGTTTTAAACATCAAGAAATAAATTAGGTTTAGTGTCAGTTGATCTATCTATTCACAAACTCATGTGATGGACATATCACGTATTACCTTAAATCTTATTTTAATTGTGTAGGTTTGGTACCTTGATGGTTCCATATTAAGCTTATGCACTATTTTCGCGAATGCATATGCATGTGCATGTCAAGGAAACCTATTTTCCTTGACGCCTATATTTTGAAAATGCTATACTTTATCTAATTCTATCTAATACATTTATTTACACAAACACAGGCACTAATGTATTTTCCTTGCCTTAAACTTGGATTATGTTCAGATTTTTACCTACTATATTTCAAGATCTTGTTATTTTCTTGGTCTTTAGAGTTTGATATATATCATCGTTCTCATCGTTAGAATAAAATAGAAAAATTGTCTACACAATGAATATTAAACATTTGTTGCTTAAAGTTGTTTAAATATATTTTGTTTAAATAGTCAGTTCAAACTTGTACAAGTTAAAATAAATAGGAGAAAGTGTTGTTTTAGTTGTATTTTTGGTATTCTCTAGTTTTTTCAGGTTTCCGAACCCAAAGGTGTAAAAAGGACGTCGATTCAGTGTTTGAGGAACTTATGATTTGTTTTATTCACCACGGGATCTCGTTGGTCCATTAAAATGTTATTAGTTTTAATTTATTCATCTTTGATCGTAAAATATGCAATTTAATGCAGATTTAATTTAAATTATGCAAAATAACAACATGGCGGTTATCTTGCTTAATATGGTGGTGCACCTTCGATCTTATTTAGTCCATAAATAACATTATGTATGGTATTTTAAGTGGAATAATTAGGTTAGGCTATGTAGGAACTATATGATGTTAATGATTATTGACCTAGAATATGACAAAATAGTTTAAGAATTGAATGCATATCTCTAATTATTACAAACATACATATTTGGTGTTAAAATTCATTGCTGAATTAGGACCCTCTACAAAAGTTTCTGTCATCCATATTATGCGCAACAGCCATCCAGTCCGTTATTTCTTGAATATCCTTGGTATCTATGTGCACGCTATCCAGCCTTCTCTTTTTGGGTTGTCCCGTTCATGTAACTTGATAGAGAATTTCCATGACTAATTTTTTTTTTTGTTGAGATTTCATTCTCTTCCATCCTGGTGAGATGTTCTGCGCTTGTAAGCCTCCACATACCAGTCCATTTTCAACACCATAAAAATTCTTCTCAGTATCATCCTTTCAAAAATCAACATCAGCTTTCTGCCATGTTCAAGCCTAACGACCACACATGAAAAAAGACTTTGTAAAGCTTCAATTTTGACCCATTGGTAATAAACCTACTTTTAAATTACTGGGCAAGCCTAACATGGCATCTGGTTGCTGCTGCAATCCGACTTTCAATATCCTGAGATATATCGCCATCCGAAGTCATCTCTGACCCCAAGTATACAAAGTGCTGCACCCTATCAAACTTGTATGTCCTATGCTCTTTCCGGAAACACTCTGGTCCAGCTTGCATATACTTAGTTTTTGTTTTGTTGATAACAAGTATAAACTTCTTAGTTGAAGAAATGCTTCCTTCAGTGCAATTTGAGAACTAGTAACAATATCGAAGTCATCAGTATATGCAAATATCCAAACACTTCTGTTGAAAATTGTGCCCATCCTTCGTATTCCAGATTCCCTCATTGCTCTTCCTTCAGCAAGATTAAAAAGCAGACATCTCGTCTAACTCCTATACTGGAACCAAATTCTTCAGACATGTCTGATCTAGTATGCACATTGCATTTTCTCTATTTAATTATCAATTTGGCAAGCAGCACTAACGGATCCAGGATTTAATTTGGGGGGACTTCAGCCCAAAAGATTTCTTTTTGTATGTATATATTAGGATAATTACTTCGGAAGAAAGAAAGAAACTAACTTCCTATATGAAATGGTGTTTAAGTGATTCTTTAAGTCCTATTAAATGTAATTAGACTAACAATAATAGTTTTAGAGAATTTTTTTTTTTTTTATAAAACGGGTTTATATTTTATCATTTTGGGAGGGACTTCAGTCTGTTATGATGAAAAAAAAGATAAAAAGGAAATGAAACCTAGCTACGTGAACGTTTATCATCAAAACTCTTCTTTGATAACCTAGTACCACTGTACAATCAATAATTGCACTGCTATTGGTGTGGACCAAAGCAGTTTAGAGATATTATATCTAGACTGTCGAGTAGTACTGATGAAATATGCTTTGTTCTATTCCATCAAAGCAGTAATCAACTGTCAGCAGACACATTGTGTGATGAGCAGTATCAGCTAAATAGTACCTTAATATTGAATTATTCGCTTTTTCTATGACATTTTATGTGAAAGTTCCGAATGACTTTTTGATATAGAATTACCTTTTGATAAACAGCCTTATTTGTTATATTAGTTTTTACATGTTGTTATATTTTCCTTCTATTAAAAAGGATTCCAAAGATTTGTTTACCTGATAAAGAGTGCAGTGCAATAGTAGTTTAGCTTGAATTGATATTTACATTTAATCCCTGTTTCTGGTTTGATATCCAAGCAATTGTTAAGGATTTCTTCATTTGTTTCATTGATATGGTTTTATATTTGACTCTTTTTCTTTTCAGCTAGGTCATAAGCATACCACACAGTTTTAAAACCTTGACTAGTTAGTTCATTGATTAGACTATAAGATTAGTTTATTGTACATATATATATATATATATGTATATATACATATATACATATATATACATATATATGTATATACATACAATATATATATACATATATATATATATATATATATATATATATATATTTTCAAATTCCAATTTAAATTTTTGACAATATATATATATATATATATATATATATATATATATATATATATATATATATATATATATATATATATATTGTCAAAAATTTAAATTGGAATTTTCAATGAAAATGAGACATTTTGAGGTCCTCTGAATTCAACTAACCAAGTACAGGATGGTTTTGATAATCCCAACATGTAAATTGCTTAGTCTGTTTGGATTATCAAAGGTTAAATTTAAAAAGGTGAAAAATTGCACAAGGTAACAAAAATATCAGTTAAAAATAAAAAAAGGTACTCGACGTATTCATTCGCCTACAAGCAAGTATTAAATCCTTTTATTGTTTTTTTTTTACCACAGATCATATGATATTCATATTTCGTTTTGTTGTCATATACTATTGATCACATGTGGTTTGATCATTAAATAAAAGTGGTCTGATATATTGGCTAATAATAAAATATACTTATTTTATATATATGTTGCTTTGCTTCTTCTCAAGCTCCTCCCGAATGTCTGTACTTGATTTATTTCTATGTTCTACTATCTCATGTATGTGATAGCATATATATTCTAAATATCTGGAAATAATTATTCTATATTCCGATTTTACCGTCGTTATTTTATTTATTCTGTGAAGTTGCTCTTTCTATTGTAATGTTTTACACAAATTTATTTTAAACGGATTACATAAAATATTGATAAGTTTTGGTTTAGAGAGTCTAGGATTAGAGTGAAGTGATGTATTTAATTAGTTGTGATTAACGGTGACTATTTTTAATGTAGTGAGAATTGATGAAGGAGTGGATTCAGATGTTTCTGATTGCTCTGCACCTACACTAGCATTGTCAGGTGTGTTTTTTTTTTTTTTTTTTTTTTTTTTGTTCAAATGGCTTTTTATTAATTTTATTCAATCCTTTTACTCACATCATTTAGTTTCTGATTATTTACTTTTTAATGATCATATGTTGTTCTTGTTATAGATATGACATTAAGTTTGTCAGTCAACCACTCCAACAATATCGAAAAGCTGGATACTAATTTGAATCATACAGAAAAGAAGACCCTGGAGGAGAGCTCAGAACATCAGAGCAGATTAGAAAAAGAAGATACAGCACGGGTAGTAGAGAGACCTAAACCTAAAGAGAAAATAGAAATAAGCTGGAGTGGTGAAAGTACCATTGACCCATTGCACTCTTCTCCTGTTAAAAAAAACAGTTCAAAGGTTAATATAGAAAGAAATCAGAGCAGGAGCAAAAGCAGAAGTCGAATCAATAACCAACAGGGATTTGACCAAGGTGATCACGTTTCAGTGTTGAAGAGAACTTTCATGAAAGAGAATCTACGCAAAGAGGAAGAGAAAAGACCTTATAGAGATTCAAGAGGTATTTTCAGAAGAAAGAATTCTGAAGAAAGGAGAAACGGATATGACATGAATTCCAGAACAATAGGAAAAATTCGTAGTGAAAAGGTATGACCTTGATGCCATATGACATCTTGTATAATATTTTATCTTCATATGGCTTATATTTATATTTGTGCTGTAATGATTGGACATGACTATATTGTTGCTTGTTGCGCTGTATAATAAACAAAACATGGAATATTCTTAAGTGTTTTTGATTTTTTTAATGGTCAAGATATTACTCTGAGTTTTTAAAAGTAAAATTGTAACAATTTTATTTTATTGAATCATCGATTGTGATAAATGTTTGAATTTTCGGATTTCCATATTTTGAGAAATAGTTTTGATTTGCATACAATTGGTCGTTATCTCCTATATTGTCATTATGTGTAGTTTTTGTTTTTCTGTTTAAAGAAACCGATGGACTCCATTATAACCTAAAGAATGAATCTATTTTTTATCATTTAACCATCATGTTTTCAGGATCTCATGAATGAATGAGTTATATTAATTTATGAAAATATAGATGTTGGCTTTTATAAAATTCTTTCTACGGATAAGTTATTTAATTTTTTTTTCATAAAATCTTATTGTCTAATCTTAGTGGTTCCATTTGGTTGGTCGCAAAATAAGTAAACATATTAACTATAAATTGTATTTACTGATATTTAATTAATCTAGTACAGACTAATACTATACAACTATTTTGCATCATCTACACTTATGCTTGAAATCGAAAGAATTACTTTGATGTTGATTACATATGTTTTTTGAAAATAGCAATTTTACCCGAGCAATATGATTTATGTTATATAATTTGAACGATGACTTATTGTGTAGTTCACCCATTTCTTGGAAATTTTTCTTTCACTCTAGTTGACTTTTTAAAATACTACATATTGTTCTGATGTTCCATATTATTAATTTTATTCTATTTGTTATCTATTATTCCATTGTTATTATTTGTTGATATATGTTAGATTTTCTTTTTTTAATTAATATTTTTAGGTAACTTTTTATACTTCAAAATACATATAAATATATACAATACATACAATATGTGTATACAAATTGTATCGATAATTTTTACTTAATTTGTTATGTTTATATACATATATATCCAAAATTTGATACTATTTGACAAAATTTTCAGGATAGAAATTTAAGGAATAGATCTCGCTCAAGTGATATGGAGGTTGACAAGCTGCCAAGCCTTGTGAAAGTAACACCTAGGCCAGTTCGTCATCCAGCCATGCAGCCCTCTTCAAACCTGATTCTTAAAGCTGTTGCTGAAGCTCAAAAGTCTATTGCTACCTCTTCACTGCCGCAACCAGATGACAAGGTAATTTTTATGTTCATCACACTAAATGGTTTTGGGTTTAAAAGTTTATAGTAATCAGAGTTGTTTGATTGATGGTTAACTTTATATGCACAAAAACGAATAACCGTGACTAATGAATAATTTTTTATTCAGTTCAAGCAGACTGGGTGAATTTTTTCATGAAGACCTGAGCTTAAAATACCGACAAATTATTGTATAGAACATGTTCAATTTCTCTGTTAGTAACAATGTTTTGAGTGAATGGCTTAACCAATTTTAAGTCCATCGGTTTCTTTAAAATGATAGCTCAAATTTGATATATTTTAAACTCAAAATACTGATGAAATAGTTTATTGTTTTTAAGTATTTTGAATTTTTTTTTATATATATATATAATATACTTATGTATATTCTTTTAAACCTGAAAATGAATTATAAACACGAATGTAATTCTTGTATAAATATTAATGCATTAAAGCTTTCGGTTATTGTGGTTATTCGCTCATTTTATTAAATATTTATTGGAATGAATTTTTTATTTGATTGAAATTTTAGTCTAAAATCAATGATGGATAAGTTACTCAGGTTTTTTTAAATCATAAAATATTTTAGTCCTGTAGAATATACTTATTCATAATTAAAAATTTCATCTGAAGCCCAATTCTGATAGAAACGATACTGTAAATTAGTGACAGTTTTAAAAATATTGAAATAGGGAACAATCCTTAACTGATATTTTAACAAATTTGAGTGATTAATTATTATTGATTATAAATAAATGTATTAATATAATTACAACACATTATTCACATATTATATTTTAATAAGAAATATTACTTCTTGAAATAAATGCTTATTGATGATTTTACTTATTAAATGCAGTTGTGTATTATGGAAGTTTTTTCACTTTCACTCATCAGAATTACAAAATGTTTACAAATAAATTTTGCAGAATCCTAAGGTTATGCTGATTTTTCGAGGAATTAATTTGTAACAATACTTTTGTTGCTGGTGTAACTCATAAAAAATTAAACTCAAAATTTTAGCGAAAATAAGCTGCTACTTTCCTAAAGATGATTAAAGGCTTGTTTCCACTTTTTCAAACCATGGCAAGCACCATTAGTTAGATAGAGTAATTTGGTTTGGCTCGTGCATCCTTCCCTGTGTATGACGAATTTGGTTTACTGTTGGCAAAAGAAGCATAAGCATAAGGGAGCTAGTTTGGCTTGAAAACTCAACTGATACTCTAGTTTTTTTTTAATCCTTGTTTATCACTCACCTATATGTAAAATAAAGATATAATTCTTTATGATTGTCAAAAATTTTAAATTGGAATTTTTAATGAAAACAGACATTTTGAGGTCCTCTGAGTTCAAATAACCATGTACAGGATAGTTTTGATAATCCCAAAATGAAGATTGCATGGCCTGTTTGGATTATCAAAGGTAAAATTTAAATTAGTAAAAAATTGCACAAGTGAAAAATTGCACAAGGTAACAAAAATATCAGTTAAACATAACACATTGCAAACAAAAAAGAAAACACATTTTCTGAAAATGATCATATAATGTAGGTTATATCTCTGATTTTGTTGCTAAAAAAAAAAAGGTACTCAACGTATCCGTTTGCTGACAATAAAATCATTTCATGGCTATATTTATAACCTTAAATATATTTACTGTTGTTTAATTATTCTAGATCTGAAATTATATTTAAATAATTAGGTATCCATTATCCATTTATTCCGAAAAATCATCATGTAACGTTTTAGAAAATTAAATTAGTGAATAATTTGATGAATGTTTCTTTTGTGCTGTTCCAACAGTTTCCACTTGAATTAGTATGAGACTACTTTTGACCTGTCTATGAGAGACAATGCAAATCTCTTAATTCCATTTTAGTAAACTTTGCAATGAAAATAATAGTTTAATAACTTATAGTCATACAATCCATAATCAACTCATCGTATAATCCATAATCAACGGATCATACAATCCATAATCAACCGGTGATATAATAAATAGGACTTTTGTTATTTTAGATTTGTTATCTGTAAGCTTTTAACTTTAGAGCTCAGTTAAAAATGCAATTCAAAAATTTTATAATAGTCCAACATGGCCAGAAAATATTTTCTATTCAAATATTTTCAAGAGCGCTAAGTGAGAGTTGTGTGTTGCGCACACTAGATTTTTAATTCTTTGTTTCTTTTTAAAATAAAAGTTGTTTAAACCAAATGATATCACCAACACAATTTCGCTATCCACCATGATTATTCCTTTGAAATGAGCATATAAATACCCCTGTTTGTAGATGTTTTGTTTACATAGAGTATGTTTGTGTATGGTTGGTGGAATTCAGAAAATGTATAAAAGCGCTTTATTATACTCACTGAAATGTAAGGAAGAAGTGATATGAGTTACCCACTGGAGTAAGATTCTGTGAATTCCTTTTATAACATAAAATAGAAATTAGTTTTGTTTTTACTTTCAATTTTGGCCAAATAACGATTATTGAATTTAAAAAAAGATGGAATTTACTTTTTATAATAAGGAAAAGATTTACTTTATTCAATTAGATTCATTGGATTAATAGTTTAACTATTCTATTTATAAAAACTAGTAAGGTATATTTGTACTCAGAGACAACAGGATGAAAGATAAAAGAGAAATATATTTCTTTAATTAACACTATTCTAAGCTAAAAAGTATAAGATATCCAACAGTATGAGTTAGGGGAAGTGTAACCTCTGATCTAGCCATGTCTCTACTCTCATTTCATAGCTCCACCCACACCACTTTTCTTTAATGCTGATTTTCTGAAAATATACATCTTAAAAATCTGAGAATTTTTGCATTTTTATTGTTTTAATATAATCTTCGTCAACCAATAAAAATTGGAAATTCACACAAGAACTCAATTGTTTTTAAAAGTTATTTTAGTCTTCCAAGGTTAACTCCTCGCAAATACTTTAATAAATTGTTTAAATAACTTTCTAACTCATGTATTAATAAACTATTAGTACTCTATTCTAGTTCATGACTCTGTGGAAACCTCCTGGTGTTAGGTTACGTCAATAATTTATTGATTCACTTCCACATGTTTAGAAAATCTTTGGGCTACGTTGATCAACACTTCCTTTGGAAATAGTTATATATTTCAGATTATATAAAAATTCATGGTTCTTCAAACAATACCTTTAAATACACAGTTGCTCCTAGTATTCTTTCTTATTTTCTCCAACTTTGGTTATGGTTATTTGGTGAGCTTAAAATGAAACAGATAAAGAATCTTATGAAGCATTTAATTAGATTTTAGATTGATCTTCAGGTTCCCCAGACCTCTTCATGACACAATTGTTGAATTTCCAGTTATTGGGTAAGTTTATAGTTATTACTTGCCTTCCCAAGAACTGTATCTTGAAACTCCCACTCTGCTTTCCACAGGGTGAAAACCTTTGGGTAACTATCAGAGGTTGGTAAAAAATATCGCAAGGCTCATTTTTTGGACTAGTTTTATCCCATTATCAGTGCCTAAAGTTTATCTTCTGGTTTAGGGTCTCCAGTTCTCTATTCAGAGAGACTTTTCTCCTCGAAGCCGATAGGCCACACCTGGGTGTTTGGTTGGTACCAGTTAGTCCTTTCTTCTTACTGTTAGATATTGCACCCTTCCAAGTGGTTACCAAGCTGGACTATGTGCAATTCAAGTTTCCAAATACTTATATAGTATTATATCCGTTTTTAAAAAAAATCAATTACTTCTTATAAGATATACGATAGTTTTCAAAACTGAAGCCTATTGTAGAGAAAATTATATTTAGTACCTATGCATTTTTTTTCCCTCTGTGATTGGTCTTTTATATTTATTTAGTATATGTGATGGACAGGAAACATCAAGGCGATCTTTGGAAGAAATTTGTAAAGATAGAAGAAGTGATCCTTTTTATCAGAAAATGAAGTTTAGAAATGTGAAAATGTTGCCTATCCAAGAGGAGCCAGTTTCCCATTTGAATGGAGCCAAAGCACTGAACACTGCCTATAGGTATATTGTTCAGGAAAATGTTCCTCAAGAAATCCAGAAAGTTGTCAAGGCTTTGAGGGATGAAGCTGTTCGAAAAGCCAAGCCAACTATCTTAGGATCAGCTTAATTATATGGAATAGTTTTTCAAGTTTAAACGATCTTTGAAACTTTTTAGAAAAAAATATATAGTTAATGATCTGATGGTTTATTTTCTTATTAACATAATTCTAATAGAAATTTATTTATATTTTAAGCTTATGGAGAAGTGAAGAAATATAATTTATTACGAAATTACCTATGTGCTGGTGATTACAAGTTTCAAGTGTCTAAAAAGAAGAAAGAGACTAGAGACTATTTTTAATGTCTTGGAGTCAAGATTAAGCAATGATTAATATAGAAATCTATAATTGGCAAAAAAGATGTGTTTTAATACAAAAAAAAAGCCTACTGATCAGTTTTGTGAAATGTTATAATTATTAATAAGTAGTAGGCCCGTGCGAAAAATTCGCACAGCATATTGTTATCAAATGCCATATTAATAATAAAATAAAATAATGCATTGTATCAAAAGATAAGGAAATCAAATGTAACTTTATCGATAAATATAATCGAAGAAAACAAAAATTAATTTTAAATCTTCATTTTTGATTGGAACCAACATGTTTACAAATTTCAGTAAGCTGTATCTTTGCTAAAAATTGTCCGATTTCGTTGATTTTTTTTTCATTTGGTAGGGAATTTAGTAATCTTTTATACAATCATGGGCATAACCAAGGGAAAAGTGTGTATTTTTTTAGTTATTCGCAAATAAAGTTTGTTTTCTTTCATAACTTGTTTGCCTGAATTTTCGGGGTGATTGCACTATTTATCCCGCCTGAAGGAGCAGGAAGCCTTCGAAATTGGTGGCTCAATCTTGAAATTTGGTGAAAAATTAACGATGATATTGCTTGCCGATCAAAAACACCATCGATAAATAAAATAAACTCCTCCTCTCTCGATCATAG